ATACTCCACTTGCAAGTCACTTCAAGTTAAGTCCTAAGCAATGTCCTACAAGTGAAAAAGATAAAAGAAGAAATGTAGAAGATTTCGTATGCATCTTCAATTGGTAGCTTGATGAATGTGATGGTGTATACAAGACCAAATATTGTTCATGTTATTAGTTTAGTTAGTCGTTTCCTCTGTAATCCCATTAAAAAGCATTGACATACTTAGGTATCTTAGAGGCACTTCTAGAGTTTGTTTGTTTTTTGGAAGTGGTGAGCCTATGTTGAACGATTACATAGATGGAAACATGGTTAGTGATGTGGATTCAAAGAAGTTCACTTTGGGTTATATGATGAATTTTATAGTGGGAACAATGTCATGGTAATCTAGATTGCAGTAATGAGTTGCTCTATCTTCTACGGAAGTAGAATATATTGCCATAGCAAAAATGGCCAAGGTTGTAAATGTGAAAATTCCTACAAAATTTGGGACTTTCATAGGAAAAATATGTTTTGTGTTGTGATAGTGAAAGTGCAATCCATCTTAGCAATAACTTGACTTTTCATTCAAGGTTGAAGCATATTGAGATTTGATATCATTGGATACACGATACGTTGAAGATAAAACAATTATCAATGGAGAAAATCCATATTGATGCTTTGATATGATGACAAAAACCTTACTTTAAGGTGGGTTTGGTTGACTACGACGGGTTCACACTGATTTTGTTATAAAAAAAAACTACATTTTGGAGAATGGGTCAAAAGTCCATTATTTTCAATATACTAATTTTTATTAGCATCAAGTGTAGTGACTCTTGGTGTGAAATCAACCCTAAAAGAGAGGAGAAATTTACATGCATGCGTTGTGCCTCTTTGTAAATATAGAAAAGAAGAATTTCCTAAAAAAGAGTGTAGCATCTAATGGGGTTATTTTATGGTATTTATCTGAGGGAATATTTTATAATAGTTATTTTTATAAAGTTATTTCACACACAACTCCACAATAATGAGATATTGTCAACTTTGGACTTAAGCTCTCATAGTTTTGCTTTTGGTCATTACTAAAAGACCTCTTTGTCATTAGAGTATGTGTGTCCTTTATAAATTGTTATTTTTTCTTTTATTTTATCGATGCGAGACTTGTTTGTATCCCAACAGTATCTAGCTCAAGAAAAAGTGTTTAGTATCAATTTCTGCATATTTTGGTTCTCTTTATTGTTTGGTTAGATACTCATTTAAGGTTTTCTTATGTTTTTATCAACCCTTTTAGTGAGAAGCTATTTTTAGTGATTTCTAGTGGTTTTAGGATGACTTGTGATGTATTCATTGATTATTATTAATGGATTTTGTACTAGATTACTCTTGTGGGTTTTTCATCTCACATTGGTGCCTATTGATTTTTATTTTTTTTCATCTCACATTGGTGCCTATTGATTTTTTTTTTCCTGTTTTGTGCATGTTATTACTTTTGAAGCCTATTGTTATTTGTGTAAGGAAAAAGGAGATTCGATTTTTACTTGCGTTAAATTGTTATTATTTTGTTACCTTTCCCCCAACATCTTCGGCAAGAAAAACTTGGTTGAGAGTAGCTCTACCAAAAGTAGCCGGTCAAAATATTCTCACCAATGACATGGTGACCAAGAAGGAACACTTTAATAAGTATCAGATTGAGATAATGGAATGATTCTACTAGAAATGAGAACAAGCTAGAATAATAGGCAACATTTAAAAGAAATCATCCATCTAACTCGTGTGGTATGTTTGAAGAATATAAGAAAAGAAATATGAATCCTCTATTTTTTAACTTACATTTGACACACAAAGAAAATTAAGTACAACCCACTAATTTTTCACTCGTTATATATTTAATCATATTAAGCTAAATCTTTATCTCCCAGTATTCACTCCTCTGATTTGCCACCGGTAACTGCAGGGTATTGAGGCCTGTACTTGTACCTCTTTGAAACAAACAAATAGACAAAGAAGTTGATCAAGCTCAATATGGAAAGGAACAAGTAGAACAGGTTCAGATGGTTTCTGTTAATATTGTTCCCTGCTAACCAGCCTCCACTTGCAGTAATATTCTTTGTGGCACCATTCACAGCTTGCACCAATATGGAACTTAGAAAATATCCAAGTGCCATAGAGCACCACAGGAAGCAAGTTGATGTGGATTTAAGGCCTTTTGGTGCCTCTGAATAGAAAAACTCAAGAAGTCCAACATAGGTAAACATGTCAGCTATGCCAAATATAAAATACTGAAAAGAGAGCCAGAATATGCTTAAAGGCAATGGCTGTTTAACAGGCAATGCATCAAGCATGTTGTGTTCTCTTGCAACTCCTTTTCTTTTGACTTCTATGATTGCTGCAATTGCCATGGAGATGGAAGAGAGTATTAGGCCTACTCCTATGCGCTGCAAGTGTGTGATGCCAGTGGAAATGCCAGTGAATTTACGAAGAAAAGGCACACAAATGCGATCATAGAAAGGGACTATAATGATTAAGAAGGCAACTGGGATGATTGGTAGGGATGCTGGTGGGATGTTAAAGTGGTTGGTGATCCTGGTGTCCATGGTGGTGCCTTGTTGAACAGAGAAGGTTTGAAGTTGTGCTAAGCAAAGGGTCATTATGATTGAGCAGCAGAATATAGGGAGCATGCTTAGAATGATTTTTGCATTTTCTACTTGAGTCACTCTGCATACTTTCCATGGGTTTGGAGTCTCTTGGTTCTCAGGTTTCACATCAGATTTTCTTTGGATAGCTGCTTTGTCCAGGAACCTGTGAAAACGGACCTCAAATTTTAGAACTAGGTGCATGGGAATTCGAGTGACATAACAGGCAGAAGAAGCATTTTGATACATAAAGGATGAAATCTAAGACCTTTTACTCTAACCATGCATCAGGTTTAGTACTACTATCAACAAGTAACTTATGTGGCTATATATCACTAATTTTAGACATATTGAACCTGAAAATATCTCTATGAGGTTGATACTCTATTTCCACTGAAGCTTCTTTGTCCTGTTCAATCTCGTATAATTCCATAGGATCTGCAGGAAGGGGAAGGTTTCTATTACGAATTGCAGCTATGTAGACCTGGAAAATAGAAGCAGAAATTTAAAACAAACAGCTTGATCAATGAAAACAATATATATATACAATTCTAAACTGTGTCAAACTTTATAAATGTAACAAAAACAATTCATGTTTATTACCATGGTGCTTAGAATTGAAATAGTGACATAATCTTTTGTATAAGCACTAATTAGGACTAATTAGGACAAATGTAAGACTATAAAGTTTGAGTTACTTAGACAAAGATATGAAGAGGCTCCTACTTACAGAATATGCTCAAAGGCAATGGCTGTTTTACTGGCAATGCATCAAGCATGTTGTTGTCTCTTGCAACTCCTTTTCTTTTGACTTCTATGATTGCTGCAATTGCCATGGAGATGGAAGAGAGTATTAGGCCTACTCCTATGCGCTGCAAGTGTGTGATGCCAGTGGAAATGCCAGTGAATTTACGTAGAAAAGGCACACAAATGCGATCATAGAAAGGGACTA